AAAAAAAACATAAAAAATAAAAATTAATAAATAAGAATTTTCTTGACAAATTACGATAAAAAAAGAGAATCAAAACTACCTTTAATTCATTTTTACTTAGCAACCGATCACAATACAATATCTTTATGTCAGTTGACCTTAAAGTCGATTTTTTTTTCTAGAAGCAAATCGATTGTATTTTTGTCTCAATAAAATAATTTTCTTTTTATTTCAGATACTATTCAACAACATAATTATGCCAAGGTTGTTGAATTCCATGTTTATCACTAAATATCACAAAAAAAAAACATAAAGATGATGGTTACATATAGAAAGATCTATTTAGTAAAAAATTATAAAAAATATAAATACAAACGTTTGTGGAATAATTAAGAATTTCGACATCATTTCTGAAGAACATCAGAATGAACATACAAATACAAATTAGTTTTATATATTAAACAGTTATACAACATCAATTAACAACAAATAATAATTCTTCTTGTTCTATTGAATAATTATAAAAAGAGATTGCTGGTATGTCATCTTGCAAATAGAATTTCGATTAATAGTAAAACTAATGATTCATAGTATATAATTGATAATTTTTTGATAAAAATAACGTTTTTTCGATTAATAGAAGAATTTTAAAAAAGAAACATTATACTTTTGATAAATATCATTATTTTTTTGTTGCTATTCATTGCATATTTAAGTTATTTGATCACTACTACAAAATATTGTGAGTCATTCATCATTTAATGTTATATTCTGAGGACCTCAAAGTAAGCGAATATATGCATATACGAGTGGATATTACCTGTTGTTTGCTCTCATTTACATTTTTTATAGAAGTCAGTAATGGTGATGCATACGAAAAGTCATTAAGTTTTGAAAATAATCCATTAAAACGACATTGATCAAAACGTAAAAGCAAACAGTGAGTGCGTATTTATTTTGACTTTATAACTGTTTACTATATAAGAAACAAGTTCATGAAATTTTCTTTTTTTCTAAATTAATATTAATAGATTTTTTTCTTTCAGCTATACTTCTGACTAATAGACAAACTTTATTAAAAAAAAAAAAATCAATCATACTTATTTATTCATACATACACTTTCATTCGTATTTCTTTTTAATCAAACTCGAATTATTCATACAAATGGCACATTTCTTTTTTTTTTAGTTTGAATCATCCAATCATAATATGGAAGGTTCATTGGTCTTTTGACGGACAAAGACTTGTTTACGAAAAAAAAACTGTACATTTTATAATATCGAGGTCAATACCAATGCAAAGAAAAGAATTGAAATCGACTACACATATTACGTATATATGTATACAATTGAATTATTGCCTATTTTGACTATTATTATTTTTTCTTCTTCTTCTATTCGATGAAACGCAACTGATCACACTTTTAACATATTTACATTAATCTTGTAGATGACCATATTGGTTCTTTTTTATGATCAATAAGAACTTGAAATAGAAATCTCCATAAATATTGTAGAATAAATATTAAAAAAACAACAACAGAAAGAAGAAAATGGAATCAACAAAAGATGAATTTAATATTCCAAATGTTATTATTGATCCACGAACACGTACTCAATATTCCAAAGGAAAATTTCTTGGCAAAGTTAGTTTAATTATTATTTTCATTTTTATAATTTATTTTGCATTTTTAATAAGGGTGGTTTTGCTCGGTGCTATGAATTGATCGATGTTAGTACTGGTCAAGCATTTGCTGGAAAAGTTGTACCTAAATCAATGCTTGTTAAACCACATCAAAAAGAGAAAGTATAAAAAAGAAAATATTATCTTTCAATTAAATTAAAGTTTTTTTTTTTTTTTTTTTTTTTTTTTAAATTTTAATTAGATGCAACAAGAAGTGACAATACATCAATCACTTAATCATAAACATATTGTTCAATTTTTTTCATATTTTGAAGATGAAAATAATGTTTATATTGTTCTTGAACTTTGTCGACGACGTGTAAAAAATAATTTATTTTTAAT